GAGAGAGAGAGAGAGAGAGAACGAGAGAGAGAGAGAGAGAACGACAGAATGAGAGACGAGAACAGGGAGGAAAAAATGACTCGAATTTCCAACACTAGCTTGTGAATGGGCTGAACAGAGGACAGGTTTCAGGGAATGGGAGGAGGGAGGTGCGAGAGGGGGACATACACGAGAGGAACGACAAGCAATGACAGCGATACAAAATAATGTACGGGGCCAAGCGAAAATAATAGGCGTAAGCGATGCTAGCACGACATATAGGAAGATAGGACAGTTCTAAACCGAGGATGAGAAAAACATGAAAGGAACTAAGCAAAAATGAGGAAGTAAAGATTCAACCAAGGAAATGAAATACGGATGAAGAACGGAAAAAACAGATGCCCCATGAATGATAACACGAGGAAAAGCTGAAAACTTTACAAAGGGTCTTAAACATAAACTTAAACAACTCGCATCCCTTAGAAACGACTAACACAAAATTAAACAACTAGGATGCGAAATTACGAAATGTTAATCTACTAAGGAATGTTAGTCGTTTCGAAGGGATGTTAGTCTAGCTCATAATCAAGCAAGATCTACTTGATAGGTTAGGAACTTCTCACCTTGGGCTGATACGTGGTGCTTGACTGGAGAAAGGACAGAGAACCAAGCTAAGGAGCGAGAAAAAGGAGATGGAAAAACCCTAGGGTGTGGACAATTCGTCGAAATTATAATGTTCAGTAATAAATACCGTACGAAATATACGTGGTGGTTTGTGCGCAATGGTGAGAAAGTCAGTCGGGGAACGAAAGGTTTTAGGTTCGAATCCCGTAAGTGCCGTTTTCCCAGAAATTTACCTTAGTATGATGAACCTCTTACCAAATAGTATGATGAACCTATAGTGTTAACTGTCAGTAATAACAGACTGGAATGATGAACTAGCAAGGATTGTGAGTACAAATATGAAACCCTAATGTTGTGACCCCCCTATAGGCTAACCCACTACAGCCTACACAAATACAACAAGTATAATGTTTGACACACCCCCATAGGCAAAGTGGGGGAGACCTAGGGGTCACAAGACCAGTCAAGGCAAAGCAAGACAACAACAAGCTCAGGGTGGATCTCAAGGATTCCACACAAATTCCGAGCACAAGCTAGTGGTCACAAGACCAGTTCACATGCAGGTTTATAAAAGAGCAAGAGATACAGTGATCACAACCTAGCAAGAGTAAACATGCAGATATAGATATATATAGTGATCACAGTACAAACAAAGTCAAGAGGTAAGTAAGTGAGGTCCAGTAGGCACAAGGCCTAGGAGAGTGCAGAAGCGCTGATGGTCACGAGGCTGAAGCGCCTTGGTGAACACATCAGCAGTGTTGGCCTCAGTGGCCACGTAGCGAATACAAAGCTGACCGCGCTGCTGCAGCTCACGAGCAAGGAAGTACCGCAGGGCGATGTGCTTCGTTCTGTGCTCCAGTCTGTGCTCCTCACACAAGGCAATGGCAGCCTTGTTGTCGACGTACAGTACTGGAGGAGAACGAGGCCGCTCTCCGAGGTCGGTCAGCAGGTAGGTGAGCCAGCGTAACTCCTGGGTTGCGATGGCTGTATCGTAGATCTCAGCCTCGCAACTGGAGCCGAGAACAGAAGAAGAGCGAGTAGAGCGCCAAGAAACTGAGCCAGAGCCAAGGCTGAAGGTGTAACCCTGAGACGACCGCTGAGTGGCCTGGTCGTCTGCCCAAGAAGCGTCTGAGTGCCCTGTGAGAACAACTCGGTCTCGCCCTCCAAGCACAAGCCCCATGCCCGACGTACTGCACAAGTAGCGCAACACCCTCTTAGCGGCATCCATGTGCTCCTTCCTGTGACGGCCAGGAGCGACATAGCGTGCAAGGATGCTAAGAGGGTATGCAAGGTCAGGTCGAGTGTAGGTCATCAGGTACATGAGGCAGCCCACAAGCTCTGGATACGGGCCACTCGGCTCTACGGACTCATCCGAAGGCAGAGCTGAGAGCGAGTGACCGGTAGGCAGAGGAGTGGACTGAGGCGAGGAGTACGTGAAGCGGAAGCGCTGGAGAACCTGCTGCACCATGTGTGACTGAGTCAGGGTGATGGTGCGGCGTGCTCTGTCCCGGGTGATCCGCAAGCCAAGATAGCTTGTCAGCTCACCCAGGTCTGTGCACGTGTGTCTCCTCTGCAGCTCCGACTTCACGTAGGCGAGTCCTGCAGTGTCAGCAGTGGCAAAGACCAAGTCGTCGACGTACACGAGGATGTAGAACGGCGGCAGCGAAGTGTCGGTGCGCAGGAAAAGCGACGGGTCAGCTGTAGAAGGCGCGAACCCAAGAGCCGCAAGTGTAGTCCTCAGTGTGTCGTGCCACTCACGCGGAGCCTGGCGGAGACCGTAGACCGGCCGCTGAAGCCTCCACTGGGTACCAGGAGGAAACGACCCAGTGAAGCCAGGTGGGTGGCGCAGCCAGATCTCCTCGTGCAGGCTGCCCTGCAAGAAAGCAGTGCTGAAGTCAAGCGAGTGAAGCTCGTAGTCGCGGTGAGCGGCTATGTGCAGCAGCACCTGAAGAGTAGTCATCTTCGGGGTGGGGGAAAAGGTCTGGAAGAAGTCAACTCCCTCTCGCTGACTGAAGCCTTGAGCCACGTAGCGCGCCTTGAAGACAGGCGGAGAACCCGGCGGCCGCTTCACCCTGAAAATCCACATGCCACTGACGATGTTCGCCCCAGGAGGGGGAACCTCGTCTACGTAGGTGCGTGTGGACTTCCAGGAAGCCATCTCAGCGTCCATGGCTGTCTGCCACTGAGAGGAGTAGGGACCCGCCATCGCCTCAGCGTAAGTGCGCGGGGTCGGGATGTCTGGTGCATCCGGGTCTCCCTCAGGGGCAACTAGCAAGGACACGAGACGGGGCAAAGCAGCAGCAAGACACTGGAACTCCTCCTGTCTGTCCTCAAGGACGTCCGTGCCAAGAGCACACCCACCCCCGACGGACGGAGGACAGACAGACTCAGACTCAGCAACAAGGCTAGCAGCGTAGTCTAGACGACAGGCAGCAGCAAAGTCAACCAACTCAGCGACCAGAGCAGACGCAGCCGAGGACTCAAAGGTAGGGTCAGTGACAACAGTAGCAAGGAGACGCGTGACAGTAGGGTGCTCAGCACGATACCGGTCAGACTCAGGGTCCGGAACGTCAGGCAAAGAGGACGCAGGAGGAGACGGTAGAGGGACACGCTGAGGAGCAGTAGAGGGACGCAGAGTCATGTAGTGAGTGCCTGGGACAGGAGGAGGACGCTCACGACGGACACGACTACCAGTGCGAGCAGGACGAACAGGCGACACAGGACGAGACTCAGGCTCACGACGCTCTGTAAGACCTCCTGTGGGACCAGTGTAAGGAGAGGGAGCAGGGAGAGGCGAGGTAGGCAGTAACTGTGACTGCGGCTGGACAGGCGGAGGACACTCTAAGGAGGAAGGAGGACAAGGGGGAGGAGCCTGCCCAAGAACCTGCTGAAGGAGCGGTACGAAGTACGGTCGCGGCCGCGCAGCGTCTCCAGAAGAAGAAAGACTCCAGCGGCCGGGTCCTCAGTACCAGTAGGAGCTCCAGCGTCCGGGTCCACAGCACCAGCAGCAGCTCCACCGCCCGGGTCCTCAGCACCAGTAGCAGCTCCAACGTCCGGGTCCTCAGCACCAGCAGCAGCGCCACCGCCCGGGTCCTCAGCTCCAGCAGCAGCTCCAACGTCCGAGTCCTCAGCACCAGCAGCAGCTCCACCAGGCGGGTCCGCAGCACCAGCAGCAGCGCCACCCCCAGGGTCCGCAGCACCAGGAGCACCACTCCGAAGACTGCAGCGGCGTGTGTACCACTCGCGGATCTGCTGAATGGGGGGGAGCTCCTGGGTAGGAGGGGAAGTACCGGGACGAGCTCCAGGAGCACCTCTCCGGAGGCGGCAGTACTCGAGGTACCTCTCCTGCAGCTGCTGGGAGGAGAGGGCTCCTCCAGGTGTAGCACGCTCAGGCTCAGCACCCCCAGACTCAGCACCCCCAGACTCAGCACCTCCAGGCTCCGCACCTCCAGGCTCAGCACCCCCAGGCTCCGCACCCCCAGACCCAGCACTCCCAGGCTCAGCACCCCCAGACGCAGCACCCCCAGGCTCAGCACCCCAGACGCAGCACCCCCAGGCTCAGCACCCCTAGCAGGACGAGAGTCAACAGCTACCTCGACAGGCTCACCCGGGTCTACCTGGGACACACCTGAGGGAGCGGCACCCTGAGGGGGGAGGGGGTCTGGTACCTCAGCACCTGGAGCGAGGAAGAGAGGCGGGGGGGGGAGCGGGGCAGTGCGGTAGGGGAAGAGGCGGTAGTAGGGGACGGACTCGTCAAAAGTGACGTCCTGAGAGGCCAGGACACGACGCGAGGTGGGGTGGTAGAACTGCCAGCCAGGGGCGTCCGGGACAAAGCCAAGGAAGACGCAGGGGACAGCGCGACGGGAGAGCTTGTCCGCGGACGCGTCGCGGACAAAAGCTCGGGATCCCCAGACCCGAAAACGCGACGCATCGCCAGCCTCTCCCGTCCAACGCAGTGTCGGAGAAGTCTCGGGCAAGGAGACACGGGGCCAGAGGTTGAGCTGATGCGCAGCGTATCGGACTGCAAACGGCCACAGAAAATGGGGGGCAGCCGCATGGCTCAAGGAGGTACGAGCGACCTCCATGACCAGACCAATGCGGCGCTCAGCAACCCCATTCTGCTGTGGAGAGGCCGGAAGCGTGTACGACTGCTCAATGCCCTCCTGCTGACAGAAGGCCTCCAATAGGCTAGAGGAAAACTCCCCACCTCTGTCAGAGTGCAGACGCAGGACAGGGAAGTCGGAGCGGAAACGCTCACGGAGCTGGAGACGAGATCTGCGGATCCAAGGGATCAAGACATCAGGGACGTCACCCTTGGCGCGCAAGGGGAAGACCGTGGTGTAGCGCGAGAAGTCGTCAACAATAATCAGGAAGTACCTCTCCTGACCCTGACCACGGACGCGGGCTGGGCCCCACACGTCCATGTGGAGCGTCTGCAAGGGAGCAGTCGTCGGGGGAAAGGAGGAGGAGTGAGGAACGGCGCGCTGCCGTCCCTCGACACAGGGAATACAGGGAGGAGCAGGCGAGTCGGGAAGGGGAGGGAGCACCCTGGGAAGACCAGCAACAAGGTCCCGTTTGTGCATGGCCCGAAGGCGCTGCACAGACGGGTGGCCAAGGCGGTGGTGCCAAAGGACAGTCTCATGCGCCAGAGAGCGACACGAGCAGGGGGCGGACAGCTGACCTGACGCAGACGCAGACGCGGACGCAGCTACCTGAGGGGACTCAGTGGTCAGTGTGTAAAGGTCCGACCCCGGCTCCCGAGTGAAGGTAGCCAGGTGGCGACCCGTCCGAGCACACGTGCAGTGTGTCACGCGCTCGTAGGCAGGGGTGAACTGGTGAACACCCCCGTCCTGGAGCGCACTACCTGCCACCAAGTTCGTAGAGAACGAGGGGAGGTAGAGACCTGACAGCGTGCCGGACGGGACCGCCGGACAAGGAAGGACAGTGGAGGAGGTCGCAATGACCGGACCCCCAGAGGGGTCAGCCAGGGAGACAGCAACTGGCCGAGCGAGTGGCTCAAGGACAGTGCGGTCACGAAAGAAGGAGCGAGAAGCACCTGAGTCCAGTGTGAAGGTGTGCAGTGCTGCAGTCGACTCAGTACCAGGGGGCACGGGCGCACGAGCACCTAGGGCTGCAGCCTCACCAGGACCTGTGGGAGCAGACGCACTAGCACCTAGAGCGGCAGCCGGACTGGCCTGAATGCCCGGGTCGGGCGGAACACGCAAGTACTGAGCACCCTCTCCACTAATAGACATCGCATACATGGCAGTGAGAATAGCATCAAAGTCTAAAGCCCAAATATCAACACCCCTCTTTTCCAGATCAGCCCAGCGCGGCAGCTCAGTGGCAGCAGGAAACTGAGTGCGCCACGCGTCGTTAAGGCGCACGAAGCAGCGCTGCGTGGGGTGCGGCCTCCCACACTGCTGGCCGCTGCGGTCACCTGTGCGAATGACGTACGTGCAGGTAACGCTACGCTGCGCATACCACTCACGGGCGGCCTGAAGCGTCGGGGCGGGCTGCTGACTCTGCCCTCCGCCAGTGCCTCCACGACCACCACCCCCACCGCCGCCGCCCCGGCCACCTCCACCCCTGCCGCCGCCACGACCACCTCCGCCTCCGCTGCCGCCTCCACCACCACTCCCACCGCCGCTGTCTCCTCCCCCACTGCCGCCACTAGTCTCCCCAGCCGCGCCTCCACTCCCACCGCCTCCACCCCCACCTCCTCCGCCACCACCCCCACCCCTGCCCCCCTTGTTCCTGCGGCGCCCGCTCGAAGCAGACGCGGTCCCGACCTTCTCAGCACCAAGAAGGTCGACAGCAGCAGCAGAGGCGACAGAGGGGAGGAGGGGGGAAGGGGAACACCCCTCAAAGAACGGGGTGCGGGGGTCGCCACGAGAGGTGCCTACAGCGACGATGCTCGCCTCAGCTGCAAGCAGTTCCTTCTCGAGGAGGGCAACAGTGAGCTCAGTGGGGGAGCGAGAGAGGAAGTGGTCCCTGACTGCGCGCAGAGAGTCAGGGAGGCGGGTGACGATGTGGTAGAGAGTGATCCAGAGCGGGGGGGGGTTGCTAGTGAGAAACTCGGCAGGCATAGCAGCGCGAAAGCGGGCCTCACTAGTCTTAAGGTGGGTGATGAGGTCTGCGACAGTGTGAAAGGAGGCTAGGTCAGGGAACAGGTAGGGGAGAGTGAGGCGGCCTAGCGTGGCAGAAGCGGGTGAGGAGTAGCGGGCAACTACAGCGGTGTAGAGGTCCTTAGCAGTCTTGCACTGGCCGAAGTGCTCGCGCTCGTCTAGCGGCAGGGAGTTGCGAATAGCAAAGCGAGCGTGCGCATCACGGGTCTGCCACTGAGAACGCAGAGTGCTGTCAGCAGACGAGTCAGGGGCAGTGGCATGGCCTAGGGCGTGGTCGTACAGTGAGATATCTTCCTTGGCAGTGAGCTGTAGGAACAGGTGCAGGTCATCTAGCCAGGTTTCGAACTTCACTGGACGGCCCTCGGCATCGAAAGCTAGAACTGGCGGACTAGCCATGGCGACAGTAGCAGTAGCAGTAGTAGCAGTAGTACGGTAGGTAGAAAAATACCAACAGTGAGAGCGAGTGCCTCGCGGGCGGCGGCTGCAGAAGCGCACGGGCGGCAGCGGCGCACGGGGAACGGCGGTGCACGGGCAGCGGCAGCGCACGGGCAGCGGCAGCGTAGGAGCAGCGACGGCGCACTAGCAGCGGCGGCGCACAGGCAGCGGCGGCGCTCGGGAGGCAGCAGTGCGCAAGCAGCAGCGGAAGCAGCGGCGTACGAGCGGCTGCGGGCAGCGGGGCGTGCGCGAGCAGGCGACGGGCTTAGACGCACGGGCAGCAGCGCCGACAGCGCACGGGCGGCTGCAGCAGCGAGCGGTGCGCAAGCAGCAGCGGCAGCAGCGCACGGGTGGCAGCGGCGTCGGTGCACGGGCGGCAGCGGCGTCGGCGGACGGGCGGCTGCGGGCAACGGGCGTGCGGCAGCTGCGGCGGCGAGCTGCGGGCCTGCGGGGCCACGGCGGGGTGCGCGCGAGCGGGCGACGGGCGGGCAGTAGGTAGGTATGTAGGTAACGGTGGGCGCGGGCAGCGAGGCGCACAGGCAGCGCGCGGGCAGCGTGCGGGGCCGCGCGTAAAGAAAAACAGCCGCGCGCGTGCGGCTAGCGGGGCGCGCGCAGCGAAATCGACCGCGCGCGCAAAAAAAAAAGTCGAGTCGCGCGCGGGCGGCTGGCGGGCTGCGCGCGCGCGGTAGGTAGGAGGCGCACGAGGGCGCGTAGGCGCACGAGGCGCACGGTAGGTAGGTAGGTATGTAGGTAACGGTGGGCCCTAAGAACGGTCCTAGCGAAGGACCTGCTCTGATACCATGTCAGTAATAACAGACTGGAATGATGAACTAGCAAGGATTGTGAGTACAAATATGAAACCCTAATGTTGTGACCCCCCTATAGGCTAACCCACTACAGCCTACACAAATACAACAAGTATAATGTTTGACACGTGTTTCCCTCCAGAAGCAGACATCTCGTGTTTCCCTCCAGAAGCAAACATCTCGTGTTTCCCTCCAGAAGCAGACATCTCGTGTTTGCATGTACTGACGATCACATACTGCCGTACCTACGAACATATCCCTCTTATTCATTCAAATGCGCAATATCACGTCCTCTGAAAATTCATTGTATTTTGATCAATTTAATAATATAGAACAAAAATCAATCACGTTGTTAACGAGGGTAAAAGAAATAAGCAAATACAGAATGGAAGTGGGAAGTAAGGATGAAACAAAGCAAGAAAACAAGGAAACATCAAGGCAGGCACATAGGTCAACGAATGACTCACCAGGAGAGAGCGACTCCGCGTGTCTGATCGTTCCAAACGACACAAGCACAAGCGCCGGCGATACGGCTGCAGTCACAATCAGAAATACGGAAAAGAATTCTAGTTATTTCAGATTAGGTACTTCAAACAGCGAGCAAAGAATACTGGCATATGAGCCAAGTCGTTTGTTGAAGTGAAGAGCAAAGGAGAAAAACGAAGCAAAAATGCAAAAAAGAAGAGAATAAATGAACCAACGTAAGAAAGAGAAGAAGCCGCAGAGATTAAGGACGCGTAAAGAACACGGAAAGTAGGAACAGATGAGAAACGTAGAACAAAAACATACTACTAGGAAATAAGGAGGTAACGAGAGGGGTGGGGGAAATACGATCAAGGGAAAAAGGAAGTTGCAGAACGTGATAAAGAAAGGGAAGGAATCTATACAGAAAACGGCCAACTTACATCTACTTAACTGATGACGTAGGTGGCTAAAGTGCATCTAGGCTGTAAAACGACATACTGGTGAGTGTGCGCATGTGTGTGCATAGGAACCAAGAAGAAATAAGTTGCACGGGCGAGTGGACGGAAGAGAGACGAAAGGGAAGAACAAGACCTTAAGGAGCTACGGTGACGTAGAATGGCGAGTAGCTACGCAAGGCGTGAGTGGCGCTAGTGCCTCGAGTAGCGTTGGAAGAGAAACCAGCGACAAATAATCAGTAAACCCTAAGGCACATTTTTTAATTTTTGTTGTCGATCTATTAAGCCCGACGTAAATAATTCGCGGCGTCGGTAGCACAATGGGTTCGATCTCGGCCAGGGTTCGGAAGGTTTAGGGTTCGATACTCGGGAAGATCACCTGTTAATTGCTTAGACTGGAGTCTGCCTTCCCCTTAGTGTTTTGTTTCCAGTGTAAAAACACCACATTGTTGTTACAATTCATTAAGATTTCCCATAAATGAGTAACAAAAAATGAAGCTAAGATTGCTTCGCAACCCTAAGACTAGTTCCTCGCCTCTTGTTTTACATTGGTGTGCTTTAGAGACTAAAATGGATTGAGTGCTTTGCCCTTGTGTTCCTGACAGCCTGCAATAATTGTAAAAATCAGTTGTAATTTTCATCTTTACGTCACATTGAATCGTGTAAAGTTCAGTTGTATCCAGCTGTATAGGGTGTCTAAGACCACGATTTCTCAACGTTTGTGTTAACACAGGTTCTCGCATCACTGCATATGCTCTTTCAGTAATACAATACCATCAATAAAAACGTCTTCATAGAGTAGCTATCGTCAACTAGGACCTCTATCAACGACCAGGTGAGAAAAGATGTCAGCACGACGATGGGTCGACAGGCAAACAAATGATATTTGGGGATTTCCTGTGTAATTCCATTTTGTTTATCATTAAAGACATAATTTGGTTAAGTGTTGGAAAGACCAGACTTGTCACAAAAAAATCACTAGAATATTAGGAAATAGAATACAACAAAAGGTGAAATAATTATGCACACAGTAACTGAATCCAAACGTGTCCCACAAGCAAACTCCCTTGTAACAAAACTTGTCACAAAAGCGAAGTGTCACGTCGAGTTGCACACGCAGCAAACACTTCTTCCTCGAACTCACCCAAGTCCGAAAGTCAGGAACCCCACCCCATGCTCCCAGTGCCTTCCCCACACAACCATTCACCGCCACCTCCATCTCCCCCATCCCTCCTCCCACTACCCCACCATGGTGGGGCGAGCCAGAACATGGCTCACGTGTTGTGACTGAACCTGGCGAACGTTTTTGTAACTTTACGAAAACGTGCGTTACAGAAATTGGTTAAACAACCTGAACAGTTAAAATAACTACTCCTAAGCAGGTAAAAATTACCAACTAAGCATGTGCTGTAATTTTCACCTGCCGTTGCTGACTTGGCAAAGCGCTGCTAAGTGGTAGTTATCTCAACGTTCTTGTGAGAACGTTCTCTTGCTAGGTTCAGTGGTTGGATAGTTCTTTACCCCTTGTATTCTATCTTTCATTCTGTTCTAGTGAACTTTCTTTTGTATGTCAACACTGTGCCTTCAAGGACTTAACCAAATTTTCTCCTTAGTGAACAACAAAGTTTGCGTGGCTGCAGAAATAGCATTCCGTAGAGCTCCAACTCCCGTTAGAGCAGAGATCTCTGCATGGTGTGGTGAGCATGGATCAAACACGCATAGAGCTCATTCTTCTACGTTAGATCTCATTCAACTTAGCTCGTCGGCATGGAGGATACTGAGGATATCCTCGAGGGAATCGACAGTCTAAGTGAGCGGGAGGCTGCGGTGCTTGCTCGTCATGAAGGTGGAAACCTCACCGAGCAGGAGCTCAACTTCATGCTTGCTCCTCAGTACGAACTCAGTGGGAGATGGAACATCCACCAACTCGTGAAGAGCGAGATGGGGAATCGCAGACTTCTGGAGACGACGACAACGATGAAGAACCGGAAGAAGGCGGAATACAGGCGCCACAAGGTGTTCTAGGACAAGGAGAACCGATGAGTCCTGGAAAAGGCTCGCAGCAGAAGGCGGATGCAAGTCCGAAAAGGCGACTGGAAAAAAAAACGCTTGAGCGGTCGAGGAACTGCAGTGAAGACTGGTGGAAGCTCGGCGATTTCTCATCCGTCAACATCGAAAGACGGCGAAATTGCTTCAGACTATGGTTATGTCTGTTAAAAGAACTAGGCAGCCCGCCCCGCTGCCCGCTTCGCAGCCCGCCCGCCGCGCTGCCCGCTCGCCGCGTCGCCCGCCCGCCCCGCTGCCCGCTCGCCGCGTCGCCCGCCCGCCGCGCTTCCCGCCGAGCTGTGCTGTGGCAGCTTCCTTTGCTCAGTCGCACTGTCGCTATGGCTTCCATCCGCGTGCTGTCGTTCGATGCTGAGGGCCGCCCTGTGAAGTTCGCCACTTGGCTGGATGACCTGCAGCTGTTCCTTCTGAGCGATAGCAAGGAGCATGTGTCGCTCTATGATTACGCGTCTGGTGCTGCACCTGCCCCCCCTGCCACAGCTGAGCTTAGTGTTCGTTCCCACTGGCAGACTCGTGACGCAGCTGCTCGCCTAGCCATTCGCAGTCACCTGCCGCTAGCTGAGCTCGAGCATTTTGGCGACTGCAAATCCGCTAAGGCCCTGTACGATGCTGTCGTTGCTCGCTACTCCTCGCCTGCCACAGCCGAGCTTAGCCGCCTCATGCTGCCGTACCTGTTCCCTGACCTGTCCACCTTTGCTACAGTCGCCGATCTTATCACCCACCTTCGCACTAGTGATGCTCGCCTGCGTGCCGCCCTTCCCACCGAGTTCTGCGCTAAGAATCCCCCTCCACTGTACTGGACACTCCACTTCATAGTCACCCGTCTCCCTGACACCCTCAGCTCAGTTCGAGACCACTTCCTTGCTCGCTGTCCCACTGAGCTCACAGTCGCCCTCCTAGAGGAGCAGCTGCTAGCGGCCGAAAAGAGCATTGTAGCTGTCGGTGCTGCTCGTGGCGCTCCTCGCACCCCCATCTTTGAGGGGTGTTCTCCCTCTCCCCTCGCTCCCTCCTACGCTACTGCTGCTGCTGTTGACTTCCTTGGTGCTGAGTCTGCTGGCGCTGCTTCTGCTCCTGGTGGGAGGCGCCGCACCGGCAAGGGCAAGGGGGGCAAGGGTGGCGGGGGTGGCGCTGGGGGGGGAGGAGGTGGGGGAGGTGGGGGGGGAGGCGGTGCTGGAGGGAGCGGTGGCGGGAGCGCTGGTGGGAGTGGGGTCGGCGGTGGAGGCGGGGGCGGCGGAGGAAGCAGTGGCAGTGGTGGCGGCGGCGGCGGTGGCGGCGGTGGCGGTGGTGGCGGTGGTGGCGGTGGCGGTCGGAGCGGTGGTAGTGGTGGCGGCGGAGGTCGGAGTGGAGGCACTGGCTCGGGCCAGAGCTCCCAGCAGCAGCAGCGTCCCCAGACGACCCAGCAGCTTCGTGAGTGGCTTGCTCAGCGTGGGACGTCGGGGGGCAGTGGCCGCTGTTCCTATGTCATTCGCACAGGTGACCGCAAGGGACAGACGTGTGGGAGGTTCCACACCCCGTACCGCTGCTTCTCCCGCCTTGACGACGCTTGGCGTGAGGAGATGGGCGAGGATGTTGAGCGCCCCCGCTGGGCTGAGCTCATGAGGGCTGGTGTTGATATCTTTGCTCTTGACTATGATGCTATTATTGCTGCCATGTATGCATTGACTGTTAGTGCCGAGGGAGACTGTTACTTGTGTGTGCCGCCTGACCCAGGTATAGAGCCCGCTGCCCTGGGTACTAGTGAGTCTGCTCTCTCTGGTATGGTGCCCCCTGTACTTGCTCCCTCCAGTGCTGTCCCGGCTGTTTGCGAGTCTGCTCTCTCAGGTACAGCACCCACAGAGACTGCTCTCTCAGGTACCGCACCGGCTACGGCCTGTCACACCTTCACCCTTGACTCAGGTGCTTCCCGCTGTTTCTTTCGTGACAGTACTGAGCTCACACCGCTTCCTGCACCGGTCCCAGTCTCCTTGGCTGACCCCTCTGGGGGCCCAGTCCTTGCCCAGTCCACCACTGTCCTCCCTTGTCCGGCGGTTCCGTCTGGCTCGTTGACGGGTTTCCACCTCCCCTCGTTCTCGACGAACCTGGTGAGCAACGCTGTCATCCAGGATCAGTGGGTTGACACCTTTACCCCTGGAGGACAGCGTGTGGCGATCTGCACATGCTCCAGGACCGGCCGTCACCTGGCTACGTTTACCCGTCGGCCGGGGTCGAGTCTCTACACACTGACCACTGCGTCTCCTCAGGTCGCTGCTGTCGGTCAGGTGTCCGCGTCAGGTCTGGTGGCCCACGCCTGTGAGTGTCGTTCCCTGTCGCACCGGACTACGGGAGTATCTGGCTCCGCGGCTACGACGAGCACACACAGGAGCAACGGACCCACAGGCGACTGGCGAAGCAGGCTCGCTGGGCTACCGAAACGCGCGAGGGCATCCGGACTACTGGCGCTGCTGGCGTCACGACGGCTACCTCCACGCAACCTCCCCCGACCGTCCCACGCCCCTCTCACACACCCCCTGCTGACACCCTAGCTCCACTTCCACGGCACCCCCCTTAAACCCTAAACCCTCGGCTCCCACACACCCACCCCCCTCAGCGGCAGCTGCAGCAGTGGGAGACGGAGGAGGAGGAGGAGCCGCAGGTTACCCACACCGGTCACCCCCATGCCCGCCACCCCCAAACCCTAACGCAGGCAGGAGCGCGGGAAACAGCAGGGGCGGGGCACGGAGGGAAAGGGAGGCAGCGGGGTGGCTCTTGGGCGCCACGAAGAAGCAGGGCGCGGGCCCCCCGAGGGCGCCACGGCGGGTGACGGGAGGGGGGCCGCGCACGGGCCCCCGAGGGCGGCTCGACGGGCGACGGGAGGGGCCGCGCGCGGGCCCCCTAGGCGCCGCGACGAGGCGACGGGAGGGGGCGGCGCGCGGGCCCCCAAGGTGCCGCGACGAGGCGACGGGAGGGGGGGGACGCGCGGGCCCCCAGGGCGCCGCGACGAGGCGACGGGAGGAGGACGACGAAGGGCAGCGCGCAGGTCCCCGGGGGCGCCACGACGGGCAGGAAACCGCCGCGCGCCTCGGGGCGCACGGCGGGCAGAAAACCGCCGTACGCCCTGAGCGCACGGCAGGAAGAAGACGGCGCGCGCCCGAGGCGTGCGAGAAGCAGAATAGCAGCGGAAGCAGTTAGGTGGCGGGCCCACCCACAGGATCGACCCAAGGGGGTCGACCTGCTCTGATACCATGTTAAAAGAACTAGGCAAGAATGATTGAAAGGAGAGGGGTTTCACTAGCAGCAGTTGGGGTACATATAGCAAACCCTAACTGGGTTGTACTCGCTATAGAGCACCCCACTACAGGCTAGACAATAATAACATTCTGACAATGTCAAGTTTCTCTCCCGATAAAATCACGGTACCGAAGCTTCTGGAAGGACGTCATGACTTATCCGTGTGGAGGGAGTCCATCGAGCCTCAACTTGAAATTGCGCAATTAAAGCAGTGCATCGAGCCTCAACTTGAAATTGCGCAGCTAAATACTCTTCTCTTCCCCTCTCTTCCCGTTATCACTTCCGTCCTCTCCACTGGACAGAACTCACAGGGAAGTAACCATGCCTTGTGGATTACACTCCGCACATGCATCCTCTGTCGCCCACTCATCGCACATCACACTTGATAGGTTGTGCTTCAACAGACCCCATTCTCCATCCAGGGCCAGCGGCGCTTGCACTAGGGGGGCGGTACAGGAAGTACTGGTAATTACAAAAGAGCATGGAAGAGCTAAATTTCAGTATTCATCTATCACCCGTTATGATAGGTGTTGTGAAAATCTATTTCTGGCTGTTCCCAAAAATTATCAATCACATGTGTAAGTGACAACTTTCTACTAATCAATCGTTTGTTGGGGCTCTTTTGTATCTAAGTTGGATATTACGCGTACGTTTACGTACGTTTTACGTTACGTTCGACTTCCAGTTTGAGATTACGTTTCCGGGCAGGTTTTTTTTTAGGGGCTGCCCTGATTTTTTTTTTTAGGGGGGATCCAAATATGGTTATAAAACTATAGATATTATTATGTTGAGTACAACAGTAGGCACGTTTAACTAGACATCATCCTTCGACTCCTCGTAACAGCAATCCTCGAGTTCCTCGTCATCGAGTGGCTCGTAAGTATCGTCCTTCTCCTCCTCCTCCACCCGTCCAACTATCGTTCCTGCAACCATACGATTCTTGGCTTGTTCCGCATGCAGCTTGCGCACGATGTTGTAGTTGTGGGTGACGTACACAAGATCCGCCAACCGCCTTGGACCAAGACGGTTACGGTGAACAGTGTGAACAGATTCCCACACCGACCAGTTGGTCTTGCAGGTTGACGCAGAAAAACACTACTTCAACACTTTGCAAGCAAGCTTCAAGAGATTGGGACAATCACACCCGTTGAATTTCCACCAATGGACCGGATCCTGCTTACCCTTTTTGATGAGCTCGTGATCCTCACGTGCCTCCTTATCACCAATTTCCCCAACGCCTTGAAGGTAGATCATCAATTCCTCTTCAATCACAGTAGCCATGGGCTTGGAGTCGCCGTCCTCATCGACCACCACCCCTCCATCATATTATTCTCGAATGAATCGTCGAAATATCCTCGAGCACTCTTTGTCCACGCCAAAGATCTTCTCAAACTGGTTCGGTGGGTACAGTATCCGACCGACAACATGGAGTGCACAGTTGATGTCGTCATTCCACCGGTCGCGCACAGCCTTTGCGATCGCATTCTTCTCAGTGGCGGGTAATCCGCGACACGCCTCGTTGACCGCATCCTCCACGTGAAACATCTTGTCGTAGATTTTTCCCATGACCTCTTGGTTGCCGTCAATCTCTCGCAGCAGCAGGTAAACCGGCTTGAGAACCTTCAGCACTTGCTCGACCCCTTTCCAGAAGTTGTCGTCTCTAACCAATGTCTTGACACCCTTCATTTTCTCATTCTTTGCCGCATTTTCCTCCCATCCTTTGGTTGTCACGAGCCGATCCAATACCTCCCACACCTTAAGGAGTCGCTCCAAAGCAATGTACATGGTGCCAAAGCGCGTGCCTGCCGGCTTGAGAAGAACAAGCGACTTCTGCTCCCGTAATTTACCGGTGACCCAGTGAGAGTTCTTCAGCGTAGAAATCATACCATTCGCGTCCTCGATGGTCTTCGCCGCCCAAGATCGGGCACCGATGTCCTTCATAAGGTTATTGAGGGAGTGAGCAGCACATCGGATGTATTGTATCTTCGGAAATTCGTCTTTAATGATGTTGGCCGGACTGACGCAATTGCTTGCTCCATCCATCAGCACCCCGACAACGTTGTCGCTTCCCACCATGTTGATAGCAGTCTTCAAGTGCTCCGCAATGAACAGTCCCGTTTTCTTATCCGCTCCGCTGCCGACGCCGAATAAGAACACGGACGCTTGCGTATTGACCGCCAAGAAGTTCAGCTGCGGGCGATCCTGCCCATCCGTCCAACCGTCGCTCGCAATGCAGACGCCGATCTCGCTCCACGCCGAAGTGACATTCGTTAATACTGCGTCTGGTCTTTTTCTTGCAATCCTCGGGAAGGCGACCCATTATCAACTTCCGCCCAGGAGGGTTGAATGAAGGCCCAGCCGCAGTAACCTTCTTGAGCATGTCTTTGAAAGCCTCATGTTCCGCCACGCTTGGCGGAATATGGCACACATGAAAAAAATTGTAACTGCGAGCTGGGCATTGGCCACATCCGTTGGCGTAGGGCGATTGTCGGTGAGCGTTCGCTGCGTCGCTGGCCGCTTGCTAGAAGAACCCACGGCCACGGTTTTGAATGGCCACTCCCTCTTGAAAATGCATCTACGGTGCGCTTAGTGGCCTCCTTGCGTGCTTCGACGTTACACGTTTTTGTTGATGTTGCTGCCAAAAGTTCGCGCTTCGCTTCTGGCGTAATCTTGTTGCCAGGAGCAGCACCGCTCTCGTCACCAAGAAGGTGGTGCTTCGCACGAGTCGCGTTAATGGGGCCTTTGAATGTTCTACAGAACTTGCACTTTTTGACAATCTTCGAATCTGATTTACAGCCGACAGGAACTTCGAAGTGTTTCCAAACAGGGTGATCATCGTTCTTCTCCATGGTTGTTAGAGGATAGATAGAAGTTAAGCTAGAAGATAGGAGCTGGAGTTACTCCTCGTAAGTTGTGATTAAAGTTTGCTTGTGAATGTGAATCTGAACGCTCTTTCTTTATATGATTGTGTGGTTAGAATTTTACAAATCGCGTTTATGCTTCTCGGTTAGAGTGGAGTGCACGCCACCCAACTTGGAGTGCACGCTGAAATGTTAGTGGTGCTTCTCGGCACCTACAAATCAACAAGCGGTGATTGATTCCACCGATTTCGGTGGAATCAGTCACCACGAAACTCCAACAATCGGCCACAATCTTATTGGTCGACGATTGGTTGGAAAATCAGTCCCGCTAATTTTTCACGCGAGGTGTACAGTCCCACGGGAAAGTATGTTGACTAACAGTTGTTTCTCGCCTTCTTCGAAATAACGCAAGTGAGTCGCGCGAGTCAACCAAATCGAAAGATTTCCTCACATCGACCTTCCCCCCCACCTTCGTATTGAGTCCCGTGACTTACGTGGGACTCAATGTTAGTAGTAGAACATCCTACCTTAGCCGACTTCATTCTTTCCTGAACTTCGCGATCTTCACAGGGTTAGGATCGATTCATCCCTCTTACGTTTATCATGTACTGCTAGGTTGAAGAGGCTGTCAAGATTGATAGTGCTATTAAGTTCGCCTAGTAGTTTAAGATTAAGATTAAGATTACCTAGTACAAGCTGTCTCATTACAGCAATTCGCCAGCAATTTTTTTCCCCTTCCCGGACCAATGTTACGCGTACTTACGCGTACGTAAACGTAAACGTAACATTACGCGTAATGTTACGTTTACGTAGGGTCCTGGACGTACGGACCTATCTGTCAAACATATATATGTTATATGTTGTAGTTATTGGTAGGCTGTAGTGGGGTAGATTCTGTGGGGTATAACCCCTTAGGGTTTTCCTACTTGTACATTTTCTTTCGATAGTTGAAACACACATGCCTAACTCTAAGATGGTATCTAGAGCAGATTAGGTCTTTAGAACCTAAGTTTGGGCCCACCCGTTACTGTTAAACTGTATTATGCTTGTAGGCTGTAGTGGGGTAGCCAATATGGGATACAACCCCAACTAGGGTTTCATATTTGTACCCAAACTTCTGCTAGTTCATTCATTCTTGCCTAGTTACTTTGACATGGTATTCAGAGCAGGAGGTCCCTAGGACCTACCGACCGTTTTTTAAGGGCCCACCACCGCTCGCATGCGGTTACCACGCTACCCCGTGCCCTAGCCTCGTAGCGCCCTCGTGCGCCCTCGTTAGCGCCCTCGCGCGCCCCTCGTTAGCGCCCTCGCGCGCACCCTCGTTAGCGCCCTCGCGCGCCCCTCGTTAGCGCCCTCGCGCGCCCCTTGCTAGCGCCCTCGCGCGCCCCTCACTAGCGCCCTCGCGCGCCCCTCGCAGTGTCGCCCGCCCGCCGAGCCGCCCGCTCGCAGCCCGCTCGTCCCGCTGCCCGCTTCGCGGCCCGCCCGCTTCGCAGCCCGCTCGCCCCGCTGCCCGCTTCGCAGCCCGCCCGCCCGCTCGCTGCCCGCTTCGCGGCCCGCCCGCTTCGCAGCCCGCTCGCTCGCTGCCCGCTTCGCGGCCCGCCCGCTTCGCAGCCCGCCCGCCCGCTCGCTGCCCGCTTCGCGGCCCGCCCGCTTCGCTGCCCGCTCGCCCCGTCGCCCGCTTCGCAGCCCGCTCGCTCGCTGCCCGCTTCGCGGCCCGCCCGCTTCGCAGCCCGCTCGCCCCGCTGCCCGCTTCGCAGCCCGCCCGCCCGCTCGCTGCCCGCTTCGCGGCCCGCCCGCTTCGCTGCCCGCTCGCAGCGCCGCCCGCCCGCCCGCTACCTGCTTCGCAGCGTCGCCCGCTGCCTCACTGCCCGCTTGCTGCGTCGCCCGCCCGCCCCGCTGCCCGCTTCGCAGCCCGTGCACCGCCGCTTGCTCCTGCTGTGGCTGCTAGCTTCGCTCTAGCGCGTCCCCTCTGCTGCTGCCGCTGCTCTGCTGTGCCCTCACGCCTGAGCTATGGCCTCTATTCGCGTTCTTTCCTTCGATGCTGAGGGCCGTCCCGTGCAGTTCACTTCCTGGCTCGACGACCTGCAGTTGTATCTTATGAGCAATAGCACGGACCACATCTCCCTCTATGACTACGCGTCTGGTGCTGCCGCTGCTCCTGCTGCCACAGCCGAGCTTAGTGTACGTTCACAGTGGCAGACTCGTGACGCTGCAGCTCGCCTGGCTATTCGCAGTCACCTGCCGTTCGCTGAGCTAGAGCACTTTGGCGACTGCAAAACCGCTAAGGCCCTATACGACGCTGTCGTTGCTCGCTACTCCTCACCTGCCACAGCCGAGCTTAGCCGCCTCATGCTGCCTTACCTGTTCCCTGACCTGTCCACCTTTGCTACAGTCGCCGATCTTATCACCCACCTTCGCACTAGTGATGCTCGCCTGCGTGCCGCCCTTCCCACCGAGTTCTGCGCTAAGAACCCCCCTCCCCTGTACTGGGCACTCCACTTCATAGTCACCCGTCTCCCTGACACCCTCAGCTCAGTGCGCGACTATTTCCTTGCTCGCTGTCCCACTGAGCTCACTGTCGCCCTCCTAGAGGAGAAGCTGCTAGCAGCCGAGAAGAGCATTGTAGCTGTAGGTGCTGCTCGCGGCGCTCCTCGCACCCCCATCTTTGAGGGGTGCTCTCCCTCTCCCCTCGCTCCCTCCTATGCTACTGCTGCTGCTGTTGACTTCCTTGGTGCTGAGTCTGCTGGCGCTGCTTCTGCTCCTAGTGGGAGGCGCCGCACCGGCAAGGGCAAGGGGGGCAAGGGTGGCGGGGGTGGCGCTGGGGGGGGAGGGGGTGGGGGAGGTGGGGGGGGAGGCGGTGCTGGAGGGAGCGGTGGCGGGAGTGCTGGTGGGAGTGGGGCCGGCGGCGGAGGCGGGGGCGGCGGCGGGAGCAGTGGCGGTGGTGGCAGCGGCGGCAGTGGCGGCGGTGGCGGTAGTGGCGGTGGCGGTGGCGGTGGTGGCGGTCGGAGCGGAGGTAGTGGCGGCGGTGGAGGTCGGAGTGGAGGCACCGGCTCGGGCCAGAGCTCCCAGCAGCAGCAGCGTCCCCAGTCGACCCAGCAGCTTCGTGAGTGGCTTGCTCAGCGTGGGACGTCGGGGGGCAGTGGCCGCTGTTCCTATGTCATTCGCACAGGTGATCGCAAGGGGCAGACGTGTGGAAAGTTCCACACTCAGTACCGCTGCTTCTTCCGCCTTGACGACGCTTGGCGTGAGGAGATGGGCGAGGATGTTGAGCGCCCTCGCTGGGCTGAGCTGATGAGGGCTGGTGTTGATATCTTTGCTCTTGACTATGACGCTATCCTTGCTGCCATGTATGCATTGACTGTTAGTGCCGAGGGAGACTGTTACTTGTGTGTGCCGCCTGACCCAGGTATAGAGCCCGCTGCCCTAGGTACTAGTGAGTCTGCTCTCTCTGGTATGGTGCCCCCTGTACCTGCTCCCTCCAGCACTGTCCCTGCTGCTTGCGAGTCTGCTCTCTCAGGTACAGCACCCACAGAGACTGCTCTCTCAGGTACTGCACCGACTGAGGCCTGTCACACCTTCACCCTTGACTCAGGTGCTTCCCGCTGCTTCTTTCGAGACAGTACTGAGCTCACACCGCTTCCTGCACCGGTCCCAGTCTCCTTGGCTGACCCCTCTGGGGGCCCAGTCCTTGCCCAGTCCACCACTGTGCTCCCTTGTCCGGCGGTTCCGTCTGGCTCGTTGACGGGTTTCCACCTCCCCTCGTTCTCGACGAACCTGGTGAGCAACGCTGTCATCCAGGATCAGTGGGTTGACACCTTTACCCCTGGAGGACAGCGTGTGGCGATCTGCACGTGCTCCAGGACCGGCCGTCACCTGGCTACGTTTACCCGTCGGCCGGGGTCGAGTCTCTACACACTGACCACTGCGTCTCCTCAGGTCGCTGCTGTCGGTCAGGTGTCCGCGTCAGGTCTGGTGGCCCACGCCTGTGAGTGTCGTTCCCTGTCGCACCAGACTCTTCTCTGGCACCACCGCCTGGGTCACCCCTCCTTGCCACGCCTCCGTGGCATGCACCGTCGCCGCCTTGTGTCTGGTCTTCCCAGGTCCCTCCCTCCCCTCCCTGCCTCGCCTGCGCCGCCTTGCCTTCCTTGCGTCGAGGGGCGGCAGCGCGCCGCTCCTCACTCCTCCTCGTTCCCCCCGACAGAGGCTCCTCTGCAGACCCTCCACCTGGACGTGTGGGGCCCAGCCCGCGTTCGTGGCCAGGGCGGTGAGCGGTACTTTTTGCTGGTTGTCGACGACTACTCGCGTTACACCACGGTCTTCCCCTTGCGCACCAAGGGTGAGGTCCCTGCTGTTCTGATCCCTTGGATCCGCACAGTTCGTCTCCAGCTCCGCCGCCGTTTCCGGACGGATCTTCCTGTCCTGCGTCTGCACTCTGACAGAGGTGGTGAGTTTTCCTCCGACCTCTTGAGGACCTTCTGTCAGGCGGAGGGCATCGAGCAGACCTTCACGCTTCCGGACTCCCCACAGCAGAATGGGGTTGCTGAGCGCCGCATTGGCCTGGTCATGGAGGTCGCTCGTACCTCCTTGGTCCATGCGGCGGCTCCCCATTTTCTGTGGCCGTTTGCTGTCCGGTACGCCGCGCATCAGCTCAACCTCTGGCCCCGTGTCTCCTTGCCGGAGACCTCGCCCACACTGCGTTGGACGGGGGAGGTTGGCGATGCGTCGCGCTTCCGGGTGTGGGGTGCTCGTGCCCTTGTCCGCGATACGTCCGCGGACAAGCTCTCCTCCCGCACGCTTCCCTGTGTCTTCCTTGGCTTTGTCCCTGACGCGCCTGGCTGGCAGTTTTACCACCCCACCTCGCGCCGGGTCTTCGCCTCTCAGGACGTCACCTTTGACGAGTCGGTCCCTTTTTACCGTCTCTTCCCCTACCGCACTGCCCCCCTCCCTCCCCCGCCGCTTTTCCTTGCTCCTGGTCCCCCTCCGGTAGACCCCCTTCCCCCTCAGGGTCCTGCTCCTTCAGGTGTCTCTCAGGTAGACCCTCCTCCCGTCGCTGAGCCTGTCGAGGTCACAGGTGACTCAGGTGCTGCTGCAGGTGGTGCTGCTGGGAGTGCTGAGCCTGGGGGTGCTGAGCCTGCGGGTGCTGGGCCTGGGGGTGCTGGGACTGCGGGTGCTGGAGCTGAGGGTACTGTGCCTGAGAGTTCGGCGCCTGGGGGTGCTGAGCCTGGGGGTGCTGCGTCTGGGGGTGCTGAGCCTGCGTGTGCGGAGTCTGGGGGTGCTGAGTCTGGGGGTGCTGCGCCTGCGGGTACTGAGCCTGGGGGTGCTGCTACTGAGCCTACGGAGCCTCGGGTTACTGCGTCTGGGGGTGCTCCGGTTCGGGGTACTGAGCAGTCTCTCACACCGCAGCAGCTTCGTGACTGGTACGTCCGGCGCTTTCGCCGTCCTAGTGGCTCGGCTGGAGCTGGGGACTCTGGAGCTGGCGGTGCTAGCGGAGTTGGAGCTGCCGACTCTGGGGGTGCTCTTCCTAGCGGTGCTGCGGACCCTGGGGGTGGCGCTGCTGCTGGTGCTGCGGACCCACCTGGTGGAGCTGCTGCTGGTGCTGAGGACCCGGCCGGTGAGCGGTACTTTTTGCTGGTTGTCGACGACTACTCGCGTTACACCACGGTCTTCCCCTTGCGCACCAAGGGTGAGGTCCCTGCTGTTCTGATCCCTTGGATCCGCACGGTTCGTCTCCAGCTCCGCCGCCGTTTCCGGACGGATCTTCCTGTCCTGCGTCTGCACTCTGACAGAGGTGGTGAGTTTTCCTCCGATCTCTTGAGGACCTTCTGTCAGGCGGAGGGCATCGAGCAGACCTTCACGCTTCCGGACTCCCCACAGCAGAATGGGGTTGCTGAGCGCCGCATTGGCCTGGTCATGGAGGTCGCTCGTACCTCCTTGGTCCACGCGGCGGCTCCCCATTTTCTGTGGCCGTTTGCTGTCCGGTACGCCGCGCATCAGCTCAACCTCTGGCCCCGTGTCTCCTTGCCGGAGACCTCGCCCACACTGCGTTGGACGGGGGAGGTTGGCGATGCGTCGCGCTTCCGGGTGTGGGGTGCTCGTGCCCTTGTCCGCGATACGTCCGCGGACAAGCTCTCCTCCCGCACGCTTCCCTGTGTCTTCCTTGGCTTTGTCCCTGACGCGCCTGGCTGGCAGTTTTACCACCCCACCTCGCGCCGGGTCTTCGCCTCTCAGGACGTCACCTTTGACGAGTCGGTCCCTTTCTACCGTCTCTTCCCCTACCGCACTGCCCCTCTCCCTCCCCCGCCGCTTTTCCTCGCTCCTGGTCCCCCTCCGGTAGACCCCCTTCCCCCTCAGGGTCCTGCTCCTTCAGGTGTCTCTCAGGTAGACCCTCCTCCCGTCGCTGAGCCTGTCGAGTTCACAGGTGACTCAGGTGCTGCTGCGGGTGGTGCTGCTGGGAGTGCTGAGCCTGGGGGTGCTGAGCCTGGGGGTGCTGGGCCTGGGGGTGCTGGGGCTGCGGGTGCTGGGACTGAGGGTGCTGGAGCTGAGGGTACGGTGCCTGAGAGTACGGAGCCTGGGGGTGCTGAGCCTGCGGGTGCGGGGCCTGGGAGTGCTGGGACTGCGGGTGCTGGAGCTGAGGGTACTGTGCCTGAGAGTTTGCCGCCTGGGGGTGCTGAGCCTGGGGGTGCTGCGACTGGGGGTGCTGAGCCTGCGGGTGCTGAGCCTGCGGGTGCTGAGCCTGGGGGTGCTGCTACTGAGCCTACGGAGCCTCGGGTTGCTGCGTCTGGGGGTGCTCCGGTTCGGGGTGCTGAGCAGTCTCTCACACCGCAGCAGCTTCGTGACTGGTACGTCCGGCGCTTTCGCCGTCCTAGTGGCTCGGCTGGAGTTGGGGGTGCTGGGGCTGCTCGTCCTGGGGGTGCTCGTACTGGGGGTACTGGAGCTGCCGGGACTGGTTGTTCTGGGAGTACTGCGCCTGGAGCTGCTGGAGCTGGGGACTCTGGCGCTGGCGGTGCTAGCGGAGTTGGAGCTGCCGACTCTGGGGGTGGCGCTGCTGCTGGTGCTGCGGACCCGCCTGGTGGAGCTGCTGCTGGAGCTGAGGACCCGAGCGGTGGCGCTGCTGCTGGTGCTGGGGACCCGGACGTTGGAGCTCCTGCTGGTCCTGAGGACCCGGCCACTGGAGTCTCTTCTGCTTCTGGAGACGCTGCGCGGCCGCGACCGTACTTCGTACCGCTCCTTCAGCAGGTTCTTGGGCAGGCTCCTCCTCCTTGTCCTCCTCCCTCCGTCGAGTGTCCTCCGCCTGTCCAGCCGCAGTCACAGTTACCGCCTGCCTCGCCTCTCCCTGCTCCCTCTCCGTACGCTGGTCCCACAGGAGGTCTTACAGAGCGTCGTGAGCCTGAGTCTCGTCCTGCGTCGCCTGTTCGTCCTGCTCGCACTGGTAGTCGTGTCCGTCGTGAGCGTCCTCCTCCTGTCCCAGGCACTCACTACATGACTCTGCGTCCCTCTACTGCTCCTCGGCGTGTCCCTCTACCGTCTCCTCCTGCGTCCTCTTTGCCTGCCGTTCCGGACCCTGAGTCTGACCGGTATCGCGCTGAGCACCCTACAGTCACGCGTCTCCTAGCTACTGTTGTCACTGACCCTACCTTTGAGTCCTCGGCTGCGTCTGCTCTGGTCGCTGAGTTGGTTGACTTTGCTGCTGCCTGTCGTCTAGACTACGCTGCTAGCCTTGTTGCTGAGTCAGAGTCTGCGTCTGTCTGTCCTCCGTCCGTCGGGGGTGAGTGTGCTCTTGGCACGGACGTCCTTGAGGACAGGCAGGAGGACTTTGACTCTCTTGCGGCTGCTGTACCTCATCTCGTGGCCTGGTTGCTTGCCCCTGAGGGAGACCCGGATGCACTAGACATCCTCACTCCGCGCACTTACGCAGAGGCGATCTCGGGTCCCTACTCCTCTCAGTGGCAGACAGCCATGGACGCAGAGATGGCATCCTGGAAGTCCACAGGCACCTACGTCGACGAGGTTCCCCCTCCTGGGGCGAACATCGTCGATGGCATGTGGATTTTCAGGGTGAAGCGGCCGCCAGGTTCTCCGCCTGTCTTCAAGGCTCGTTACGTTGCTAGAGGCTTCAGTCAGCGTCAGGGGGTCGACTTCTTCCAGACCTTCTCCCCCACCCCGAAGATGACCACTCTTCGGGTTCTGCTGCACGTTGCTGCTCAGCGTGACTACGAGCTTCACTCTCTTGACTTCAGCACAGCGTTCCTGCAGGGCAGCCTGCACGAGGAGATCTGGCTGCGCCGCCCACCTGACTTCACTGGGTCGTTTCCTCCTGGTACCCAGTGGAGTCTCCGCCGGCCAGTCTACGGTCTCCGCCAGGCGCCACGTGAGTGGCACGACACACTGAGGACTACACTTGCGGCTCTTGGGTTCGCGCCGTCTACTGCTGACCCGTCGCTGTTTCTGCGCACAGACACGTCGCTGCCGCCGTTCTACATTCTCGTGTACGTCGACGACTTGGTCTTTGCTACTGCTGACACTGAGGCACTCGCTCGTGTGAAGTCGGAGCTGCAGAAGAGACACACCTGCACTGACCTGGGTGAACTGCGTAGCTACCTTGGCTTGCAGATCACCCGGGACAGAGCTCGCCGCACCATCACCCTGACTCAGTCACACATGGTGCAGCAGGTCCTTCAGCGCTTCGGCTTCCAGTTCTCCTCACCACAGGCCACACCTCTGGCTACCAGCCACTCGCTCTCAGCTCCACCTTCGGACGAGTCCGTAGAGCCGAGTGGCCCGTACCCAGAGCTTGTAGGCTGCCTCATGTACCTGATGACTTGCACGCGACCTGACCTCGCGTACCCTCTTAGCATCCTTGCTCGTTACGTTGCGCCTGGGAGACACAGGCGAGAGCACTGGGAGGCTGCTAAGAGGGTGCTGCGCTACTTGTGCAGTACATCAGGCATGGGGCTGGTGCTTGGAGGACACGACAGAGTTGTCCTCACTGGCCACTCGGACGCTTCTTGGGTGGACGACCTGGCTACGCAGCGGTCGTTACAGGGTTACACCTTCAGCCTTGGCTCTGGTTCTGTCTCGTGGCGGTCCACCCGCTCTTCCTCTGTTCTCGGCTCTAGTTGTGAGGCTGAGATCTACGCCACAGCCATGGCTGCACAGGAGTTACGCTGGCTCACCTACCTGCTGACTGACTTGGGAGAGCGGCCTAGTTCTCCTCCAGTTCTGTACGGTGACAACAAGGCGGCTCTTGCCTTGTGTCAGGAGCACAGACTGGAGCACAGGACGAAGCACATTGCTCTTCGCTACTTTCTTGCTCGAGAGCTTCAGCAGCGCGGTCAGCTTCGGCTTGTGTACGTGGACTCGAAGGCCAACACTGCTGATATCTTCACCAAGGCGCTCCCGCCTAGTGATCATCAGCGGCACTGTACTTCTTTAGGCCTTGTGTCCACGTTTCCTCACTTGCTCACTGCTTGACATTCTTTGTACTGTACTTTATATATATCTTGTTGCTTGCTTGCTAGGTTTTGATCACTGTGTTGCTTGTCTTGTACTATATCTAGCACTGCATGTGAACTGGCCTTGTGGCCTTTACTTGTGCTCGGAGTGTGGTGACGTTGTGATCCACCCTGGGCTTTGCTTTGCTTTGCTGGACTGGTCTTGTGACCCTTTGTTCTCCCCCACTTTGCCTATGGGGGTGTGTAAACTGTATTATGCTTGTAGGCTGTAGTGTTGCGGGATACAACCCCAACTAGGGTTTCATATTTGTACCCAAACTTCTGCTAGTTCATTCATTCTTGCCTAGTTACTTTGACATGGTGTTACTACATTACCTCACCTACGGTCCTACCTACCTTGCCTGCCTGTTTGTTTTGCCTGCTGCCCCCGCGCGCCTCGGCTGCGTGCGCGCATATCCTTTTTTTAGCGCGCGCAGCTGCTGCCAGCCGCGTCGTGCCCCGCTCGTCGCCCGCGCAGCCCGCCCTAGGCCCGCGCAGCCCGCCCTAGGCCCGCGCAGCCCGCGCGCGGCCCGCAGCTGCCCCGCGCACCGCCCGCGCAGCCCGCGCCGAGCCCGCGCAGCCCGCGCCGAGCCCGCGCAGCCCGCGCGCAGCCCGCGCCGAGCCGCGCGCAGCCCGCTGCAGCCGCGCGCAGCCCGCAGCCGCGCGCAGCCCGCAGCCGCGCGCAGCCCATAGCCTCACGCAGCCCGCAGCTGCGTGCCCTCGAGCAGCCGCCCCTGGACCAAGAGCAGCCGCCCCTGGACCCAGAGCAGCCGCCCCTGGACCCAGAGCAGCCGCCCCTGGCCCCTGCAGCAGCCGCCCCTGGTGCAGCCGCCCCTGGATCCTCGAGCAGGCGCCCCTGGTACAGCCGCCCCTGGACCCTCGAGCAGCCACCCCTGGACCCAGAGCAGCCGCCTCTGGCCCCTGCAGCAGCCGCCCCTGGTGCAGCCGCCCCTGGACCCTCGAGCAGCCGCCCCTCGACCCAGAGCAGCCGCCCCTGCCGGCTTCCCCGCCCTGCTCGCCCGGCGAGTGCCCGCCCTTCCCGCCACTGGTGAGCACCTGCCTTATTCGCGCGCTGCCGCGCCCTCCTGCCTGTCTGCCGGCCTGCCTGCCTGTCTGCCTGCCTTAGGCATCTGCCTGCCTTAGGCATCTGCCTGCCTTAGGCATCTGCCTGCCTTGAGCGCCTGCCTGCCTTGAGCGCCTGCCTGCCTTAGGCATCTGCTTGCCTTCAGCGCCTGCCTGCCTTGAGCGCCTGCCTGCCTTAGGCATCTGCCTGCCATGAGCGCCTGCCTGCCTTGAGCGCCTGCCTGCCTTAGGCACCTGCCTGCCTTGAGCGCCTGCCTGCCTTGAGCGCCTGCCTGCCTTGAGCGCCTGCCTGCCTTAGGCACCTGCCTGCCTTGAGCGCCTGCCTGCCTTTGGCGCTTGCCTGTCTTGAGTGCCTGACTGCCTTGAGCGCCTGCCTTGAGCGCCTGCCTGCCTTTGGCGCTTGCCTGTCTTGAGTGCCTGACTGCCTTGAGCGCCTGCCTTGAGCGCCTGCCTGCCTTGGGTGCCTGCCTGCCTTGAGCGCGCCTGCCTTGAGCGCCTGCCTGCCTTGGGCACCTGCCTGCCTTGAGCGCCTGCCTGCCTTGAGCGCCTGCCTGCCTTGAGCGCTTGACTGCCTTGAGTGCCTGCCTTGAGCGCCTGCCTGCCTTGAGCGCCTGCCTGCCTTGAGCGCTTGACTGCTTTGAGTGCCTGCCTTGAGCGCCTGCCTGCCTTGAGCGCCTGCCTGCCTTGAGCGCCTGCCTCCCTACTGCCCGCGTTTGCTTGCCCCGCGCGCCATCTACGATGCCTTGCCCTGAGCCTGCGCCCTACCTCCTGCAGCATGCCGCCTTCCTCTGGCGGACCGTCGCCTTTTCCTGCCCGTGCGCCGCCCCTGCCTAACCTGATACCCACGATGACCTCTCTTCGTGGTACAGGCAGTGCGAGTGGTGGCGGCGGTGGAGGCAGCAGTGGGGGTAGTGGTAGCAGTGGAGGCACCCGTGGGAGTGGTGGCAGCTGTCGTAGCAGTTGCGGTGCAGCTACTCCGTTGGGAGGTTCTGGAGGTGGCTTGGTGCAGCTGCAGCGGCGTCCGCGTGAGTTCCGTACACCCCAGGAGCTTCGTGAGTGGTTTGCTCAGCGTTGGGCGTCTCACCGTAGTGGCCGTGGTGGCAGTCGCGGTGCAGCTACTCCGTTGGGAGGTTCTGGAGGTGGCCTGGTGCAGCTGCAGCAGCGTCCGCGTGAGCCCCGTACACCCCAGGAGCTTCGTGTATGGTTTGCTCGGCGTTGGGCGTCTCAGCATAGTGGCCGTGGTGGCAGTCGTGGTGCAGCTACTCCGTTGGGAGGTTCTGTAGGTGGCCTGGTGCAGCTGCAGTGGCGTCCGCGTGAGCCCCGTACACCCCAGGAGCTTCATGAGTGGTTTGCTCAGCGTTGGGCGTCTCAGCATAGTGGCCGTAGTGGCAGTCGCGGTGCAGCTACTCCGTTGGGAGGTTCTGGAGGTGGCCTAGTGCAGCTGCAGCGGCGTCCGCGTGAGCCCCTTACACCCCAGGAGCTTCGTGAGTGGTTTGCTCAGCGTTGGGCGTCTCAGCGTCATGCTCAGAGTGTCTGTTACCTGTGTGCGCCACCAGACCCAGGTATAGAGGTTCCTGCTCGCCGTACTGGTGAGGCTGCCGCTCTCGGTGCTAGTGAGTCTACTCTCTCAGGTGCTACTGAGTCTGCTCTCTCTGGTACTGCGCCTGCTGAGGTCTTCCACACTTTCACGCTTGATTCAGGTGCTTCCCGCTGCTTCTTTCGCGACAGTACCATAGTCACTCCCCTCCCTGCACCTGTCCCTGTCTCACTGGCTGACCCCTCTGGGGGCCCAGTGCTTGCTCGCTCCTCCACTGTGCTCCCGTGTCCGGCGGTCCCGTCCGGTGAGCTGTCAGGTCTCCACATCCCCTCGTTCTCTACAAACCTGGTGAGCAACGCCGTCCTTCAGGATGTGGGGGTTCATACCTTCACCCCTGCTTGGCAGCGTGTGGCGATCTGCACGTGTGCACGGAGACTGGCCGTCACCTGGCCACGTTCACTCGTGAGCCCGGGTCGAGTCTTTACACACTGAAGACTGTGTCTCCTCAGGTCGCTGCTGTCGGTCAGGTGTCTGCGTCTGGTCTGGTAGCCTCCCCCTGTAAGTGTCGCAGCTTGTCGCACCAGACTCTCCTTTGGCACCACCGCCTTGGTCACCCCTCCCTGCCTCGCCATCGCAGCATGCACTCTCGCTCCCTGGTCTCTGGTCTTCCCAGGTCTCTGCCCTCCCTTCCTAGCTCGCCTGCGCCGCCCTGCATTCCTTGCGTCGAGGGGCGCCAGCGCGCCGCTCCTCACTCCTCCTCGTTTCCTCCCACAGAGGCTCCACTGCAGACGCTCCACCTGGACATGTGGGGCCCAGCCCGCGTCCAGGGGCAGGGCCGCGAGCGGTACTTCCTGCTGGTTGTCGACGACTACACGCGTTACACCACGGTCTTCCTCTTGCGCAGCAAGGGGGACGTCCCTGCTGTTTTGATCCCCTGGATCCGCGCTATTCGTCCCCAGCTCTGCAAGCGGTTCGGGACGGACTTTCCCGTCCTGCGTCTGCACTCTGACAGAGGTGATGAGTTCTCCTCCGACCTCTTGGCAGCCTACTGTGCGGAGCATGGCATCACCCAGTCGTTCACGCTTTCGGCCTCCCCGCAGCAGAATGGGGTTGCTGAGCGCCGCATTGGTTTAGTCATGGAGGTCGCTCGTACCTCCATGATCCATGCGGCTGCCCCCCATTTTCTGTGGCCGTTTGCGGTCCGGTACGCCGCGCGTCAGCTCAACCTCTGGCCCCGTGTCTCCTTACCGGAGACCTCGCCCACCCTGCTGTGGACGGGGAAGGTTGGCGATGCATCGCGTTTCCGGGTCTGGGGTGCTCGTGCCTTTGTCCGCGATACCACCGCGGACAAGCTCTCTGCTCGCGCCATTCCCTGCGTCTTCCTTGGTTTTCCTACTGACGCGTTCGGCTGGCAAATCTACGACCCCACCTCGCGTCGCGTCTTTGCGTCTCAGGCCGTCACCTTTGACGAGTCAATCCCCTTTCACCGTCTGTTTCCCTACCGCACTGCCCCTCGCCCCCTGCCGCCGCTCGCGCTCGCTCCAGGTCCTTCCCTGGTAGCCCCCCTCCCCGCGCCAGGTCCTGCTCCTTCAGGTGTTTCTCAGGTAGACCCTCCTGTGCCTGCGCCTGTTGAGGTCACTGGTGACTCAGGTCCTGCTCGGGGTGCTGGTACTGGGGGTGCTGCGACTGGGGGTACTGAGCCTGTGCGAGAGGAGCCTGGGGGTACTGAGCCTGTGCGAGAGGAGCCTGGGGGTGCTGGGCTTGGGGGTGCGGAGTCTGGGGGTGCTGTGCCTGCGCGTGAGGAGCCTGGGGGTGCTGAGCCTGGGGGTGCTGAGCCTGCGCGTGAGGAGCCTGGGGGTGCTGGGTCTGGGGGTGAGGCACCTGCGAGCCTGCTGCTGCGCGGTCTCCTTGGAGTGACCGTCTTCGTCCGCGTGCGCCTCTCACCTCACAGCAGCTGCACGACTGGTACGGTCGCCGTCAGGGTCGTGCTGGAGGGGCTCGGGGCTCTGCTGCTGGAGGTACTTCTGCTGACGTCGCTGGAGCTGGGAGTGGTGCTGGTCCTTTGTCTTCAGGAGGTGCTGGGGTCCCTGGTCCCGGAGGTGCTCGTACTGGGGGTACTGGAGCTGCTGGGGCTGGAGGTACTACGTCTAAGGGTGCGGCTACTGGTGGTGCTGGTGCTGGAGGTGCTGGCGCTGGAGGTTCTGGAGCTGCTGGTGGTGTTGGCGCTGGAGGTGCTAGCGCTGGAGGTTCGGGAGCTGCTGGTGGTGCTGGCGCTGGAGGTTCTGGAGCTGGAGGTTCTGGAGCTGCTGGAGGTACTGGAGCTACTGGTGCTGGTGGCACTACGCAGCCACGACTGTTTCTTCGCTCCGCCGTCTCCGTCGTCTCTGCCACCGCCTGACTCTGTGCTTCGCCAGGTTCTTACCCTCCCGTCTTCTACTGGACTTCAGTTACAGCCTGGTTCACCACTGCCCGCTCCTTCTCCTTACACTGAGCAGCTGGGCAGTCCTGCTGAGCGTCGTGAGCCTGCGTCGCGTCCTGTCTCGCCTGTTAGTCGTGTTCCGCACTGGCAGTCCTGTCCGCACTGGTAGTCGTGTTCCCCGTCCGCGTCAGCCGGCTGTCCCCGGCGCACACCTCGTAGTCCGTCGTCCTCCTTCTGCTCAGCAGCGTGTTCCTCTACCTTCTCCCCCTGCGTCGTCTCTGCCCGACGTTGCTGACCCGGCGTCAGACCAGTTTCGTGCTGAGCACCCTACTGTCACACGTCTCCTAGCCACTGTTGTCACTGACCCGTCGTTTGAGTCTGCTGCTGCGTCTGCCTTGGTCGCTGAGCTTGTTGACTTTGCTGCTGCCTATCGTCTAGACTACGCCGCCAGTCTTGTTGCTGAGTCTGAGTCTGTCTGTCCTCCATCCGTCGGGGGTGAGTGTGCTCTTGGCACGGACGTCCTTGAGGACAGGCACGAGGACCTTGAGTATCTTGCAGCCGCTGCGCCTCATCTCGTGGCCATGCTGCTTGCCCCTGAGGGAGACCCGGATGCAGCAGACCTCCCGACCCCGCGCTCTTACGCTGAGGCGATCGCGGGTGAGTACTCCTCTCAGTGGCAGACAGCCATGGACGCAGAGATGGCATCCTGGAAGTCCACAGGCACCTACGTCGATGAGGTTCCCCCTCCTGGGGCGAACATCGTCGATGGCATGTGGATTTTCAGGGTGAAGCGGCCGCCGGGTTCTCCGCCTGTCTTCAAGGCTCGTTACGTCGCTAGAGGCTTCAGTCAACGTGAGGGAGTTGACTTCTTCCAGACCTTCTCCCCTACCCCGAAGATGACCACTCTTCGGGTGCTGCTGCACGTTGCCGCTCAGCGTGACTACGAGCTTCACTCTCTTGACTTCAGCACAGCCTTCTTACAGGGCAGCCTGCACGAGGAGATCTGGCTGCGCCGCCCACCTGGCTTCACAGGGTCGTTCCCTCCTGGTACCCAGTGGAGCCTCCGGCGGCCAGTCTACGGTCTCCGCCAGGCAACTCGCGAGTGGCACGACACACTAAGGACGACACTTGCGGCTCTTGGGTTTGCTCCTTCGACTGCTGACCCGTCGCTGTTTCTCCGCACCGACACCTCGCTGCCGCCGTTCTACATCCTCGTGTACGTCGACGACTTGGTCTTTGCCACTGCTGACACTGAGGCTCTCGCCCTGGTGAAGTCGGAGCTGCAGAGGAGACACACGTGCACAGACCTGGGTGAGCTGCGCAGCTACCTTGGCTTGCAGATCACCCGGGACAGAGCACGCCGCACCATCACACTGACTCAGTCACACAGAGCAGGTTCTCCAGCGCTTCGGCTTCACCTGGTCCTCAGCACAGTCCACTCCTCTGGCTACAGGTCACTCGCTCTCAGCTCCACCTTCGGACGAGTCCGTAGAGCCGAGTGGTCCTTACCCAGAGCTAGTGGGCTGCCTCATGTACCTGATGACCTGCACTCGTCCTGACCTTGCGTACCCTCTTGGCCTTCTGGCTCGCTATGTGGCTCCTATTCGGCATCGAAAGGAGCACATGGATGCTGCTAAGAGGGTACTGCGCTACTTGTGCAGCACATCGGGCATGGGGCTCGTGCTTGGAGGACGGAGCGACGTTGTCCTCACTGGACACTCTGACGCGTCTTGGGTTGACGACCAGGCTACGCAGCGGTCGTCACAGGGGTACGCATTCAGCCTTGGCTCTGGCTCTGTTTCGTGGCGGTCCACACGCTCGTCTTCTGTTCTCAGCTCCAGTTGTGAGGCTGAGATCTACGCCACAGCCATGGCTGCACAGGAGTTACGCTGGCTCACCTACCTGCTGACTGACTTGGGAGAGAGGCCTCGTTCTCCTCCAGTTCTGTACGTCGACAACAAGGCCGCCATTGCCTTGTGTCAGGAGCACAGACTGGAGCACAGGACGAAGCACATCGCTCTGCGTTACTTCCTGGCTCGAGAGTTGCAGCAGCGAGGTCAGCTTCGTCTTGCTCACGTGGCCACTCGGGCCAACACTGCTGATATATTCACCAAGGCACTTCCGTCTGGTGATCATCAGCGTTTCTGTACTTTGTTAGGCCTTGTGCCTACGTTTCCACACTTGCTGTAGACTTGATTGTACTGTGATCTATATATATACCTGCATGCTTGCTCTTGCTAGGTAGTGATCACTGTACTGTTCTTGTTGCATATATACCTCTGCATGTGGACTGGCCTTGTGGCCCTTTGCTTGTGCTCAGAGTGTGTGGTGACGTTGTGATCCACCCTGAGCTTGCTTTGCTTCTCTTGACTGGTCTTGTGACCCTTTGCTCTCCCCCACTTTGCCTATGGGGGTGTGTCAAACATATATATGTTATATGTTGTAGTTATTCGTAGGCTGTGATGGGGTAGATTCTGTGGGGTATAACCCCTTAGGGTTTTCCTACTTGTACAATTTTTCTCGATAGTTGAAACACACATGGCTAACTCTAAGACCATCTTAGTTTTGTATCTTGGTAAGATTTTAAATATAGAGAATATAGGCTATGTTTGACATCCAAGACTCGTTGGCCACGTTTTATGAAAGGAAGGGTGCTGCGCATGATTTTAACGTAATCTCGGATTGTACAGCTGGGAATCGAACCCGAGGCTCTGGTACCAGTATAACACCTGGCCACTGGGTCAAAACGAGGGTGTTGGGAGCGGCAGAATGGCCCATAGGGATGACCCACAACCTACAGACGTTACACCTCATAGCCAGGATGACACAATGCTGCATCATGATCAACATTTGGTCAGCGCACAGCCTTTTACAACTTGGAAGAAATAAATTCTAGTTATTCATTGTCACTTCCATTCAACACTAATCACAACGTTTCTTTTATTGCTCTTGAGCATGTCTTCCGTTGCAAACCGTAAACTTATTTTTCGTTAAACAAAAAAAGCCCACTCTCGACGACTCACGCTAGTATTTTCATTGGAATGCGGCTGAAGTCTGTAGCCTCTGCACAACCATATACATGATCAACAATATGCTCACGTTGCGATGGGTGTGTTGGGCTGAGATTAGCCCTTAGGATCTTTTGCAGGAGTAAACTCTGGTAGGAACTATGTAATAGCGGAAGCGTTAATGAAGAGTTGTGAACCACCTTGCGCTAGTATGTGAGGGCAAAGTGAGTTGATAATAGCAAAGAGATACAAGAATATATAATAGTACAAGGAATACGAAACGATACGGTTGTAACTAATTTACTGTTGCTGTTGCGGTTCGATACAGTACGACTCGGGCAACTGCTCTGTAACGAGTCAGTTGTGTGTCCTTAACTGTCGCGCTGTACTTGTCAGGTCAAAGGTCGCTTGACCTTTGACTTTCGCGTAACCTCCAGCAACCTCTCAACCTCCGAGGGTTGACTCGCGGGTGCTTCGATAAGGTTTGCCTCACTTCTGGTGCGATGTTTTGACACGACAGAAGCGCTTAAGATTTACTGTTTCCAACAGGGTGGAGCTTGATGCGCGCCTGACTCGGCGTTAGTACGGACGCGGAGGGGCGACTGTCCGGTACACGGTACGCACTAGCGGCGGACGCGAGAAGCATGATGACGACCAGCACGCGATAGACAAAGTACGGCACGAGCGTCAAGTTTCGCGCCATGACAGTTGAGCCTCGACTGAGGAAAGAGAGATCGCGGCTTGCTAAGAATGCGTTCTAAATATTTCTCCTGGGCAACAAATGGGGAAACGAAATTGTTGTACAAGAAACCTGCTGGTTCTCTTCTCACAAAACCCGCGACAGAAAGCAGGAAGCTCGCGGGGCGGGGGCTGATTTCGCCTCGACTGGCTAGGTCCAGCCCAGTCAAGGCAGGTCTTCCCATGGTTACGGCGCGTATCACTTCCCCGTTGAACTTTTTTTGCTGAATGTACATTCCGAATCCCTGCTGTAAGACACGCGAGAGTGCCAGTTGTGAACCACTACTTCATCATTATATTTTACGGATAGAATAAAAATCCCAAACTGATATCGTAAGTTGAAGTGGCTTAGTTGTTAGGGAACTCACTATCGAAGAGTGAGATGCACGGTTCGAGTTTTGCAGGAGCCACCTTTCACAAGGTCTGAAAATCAGGCCTTGTGTGGAAAATCAGGTCTTTTTCCTCGAGACCCTCGAAATTCAGACATGATTTTTCTTTTACCGTATTCCCCCGGATAAAACACCCACCCCGAATTGTACACCCCCGGGTAGCTTGTGCGGGGGGGGTGTTATATTTGACCCCGTTGGTACTATACCCCCCCTTTTGGGGTGATCCTATATAAGACCCGGCCCCCTTTTCTTACGAAACCCTATTATAGCTGTTATCGAGTCAGATTTTTAACAGGAGGATATGACGAAAATCGCTCCCTGAATGAAATTTCGCGTGCACTTTCACTTCGAATCTACCGAGATTCCCTCCCTTCCACAATCTCGCTGTCGCCACGCCGATGAATCTTCCGCTGCACGTGGCCCGAGAGGTGAAACTCACATTCTCGCCTCAACCTGTGATGTTATAACGACTATTGAAACACCCAAATTGTCTAATTAATTTTTTTTCTTACACTAAAAAGTGCCATATATAACCACCCGGGTATTATATAGGATTTTCCGTTGAGGAGACCCCCCCCCCATTTTTTCCCAGTGGTTATCATAATACCCCCGGGTGTTTTATCCGGGGGAATACGGTAGGAACACTGATTTTCAGCCTTTTTACATAGGGACCCTAATGCATCTACGTCCCTAAAAGTGAATCTGAGGCCTTGGCATTGAAGCTTGTAATTGCCACGCCGAAGTGTCAAGCAGAAGATCGAAGCCAGAGGAAGACACTAAACAAGGGGTACAAGCAGTGTTGCAAGCCACAACATTCCATATAAAACCACTACACTACAACCACCCATCCAACCTAGCACACTAACCTATGGTACTCTGCTAAGCACAAGTCAGGAACAATCTGCTAGCTTTGTATAAGCAGCAGCAACCGCCTTTGCAGATGTATACAGCCATGCAGGAGCAAGTGCAGCAATACACTTGGCTAAGTACATCATTCTCGTAATGATGGCAAGGCGTGGGTGCCGCTTAAGAGAGGCGGGAAACAAAAAGCAGCACAATGAATCTTTGGCTTCATTTTGCGTCCCTTCAGATGAGGCAGAGGCAGTGGATGGTGGCTAGATGGGCTGGGCAGTGTGGTTGCAGGGGCTTGCAGTGGAGAGGAGGCGAAGAGCATGGAGAGGGGCTGCTGGTGGTGAGTGGTTTCTAATGGAAGCTAAAGAGAGGGAGTGGCACGTGGCAGGACGGAAGGTGGGGATGCTTTGGTGGGGAGTGACAGCTCAGCTGCAGGTGTTGCAAGCGCAAATCCAGATGCTTGTGGCAAGGACGGGCAAAGCATGGCGGTCTAGTCGCCGAAGTTGATGCCCTGAGCCAAAGGCAGGTCCGTTCCGTAGTTGATGGTGCTGCACCTGCGGCGGGGCAGGTCAGAGAGTGGGGGGAAGAGGAGCAAAGTGAGACACAATGGAAAGAGATGGAGAGAGGAAGGTGGTGAGGTTGGGGGGGTGAGAAGTGGAAGCACGAGGAAGCACCGAACAAGACAAGAAAGAGGTTCAGTGCAGGTATTGATCTCCAAACCTGTGGCATGCGTGTGCTACTACATGTGGCAGGTCCCATTTATGCACAGCAATGCACAACACTGCACTGCTGCACAATCTGCCGTTCACTCTGCACCACGGATTTTTCTTATTGTCCAACACCCAGCACACCACACCCACCAAAGACACAGCATGCCTTGCACCAGGCAGCAGACGACACTCACACTCACACTCGCATACATGCACACACACGTCCACGCACGCGCGCGCACACACACACACACACACACACATACACACACACACACACACACACACACACGCACACACACACACACACACGCACGCACGCACACACACACACACACACGCACACGCACACACACACACGCACGCACGCACGCACGCAC